CCACCGCTTCTGGGACACCGGTAAGCAACGTGCGGCAGCCGATGGGAGAGGGAGCCTGGGCCGGGCCGCCCTCTGCCGCCACAGCACTTACCCGCCGATCCTGTCATCTTCCGCCGCCTCCCCAGGCGTAACGCAAGTTCCATTCGCACCGGAGCCGCGGGACCGTCCCCGGTGCTCAGCAGCTGCTGAGTGAGTGAAGCTGGGTACGAGGGTAGGGAGGGGTCACAAGGGAAGGTGAGGGACTGGGCTTCGCTTCGGGTTTTATCCTGTAGGAAGTGGGGAGCCCCTGGAGGTTCAGGGGGGCTAGGGAGACCCATGCTGGAGACCCGGTTGGGAGACTGCACAGGGAGGTGTGTCAAGAAGCTGGAGAGGAGTGGCTGGGGCCAGAACCAGGGGGTGAGGAATGCTGGCAGCCGGAGGGGGGCGGGCACGGAGGCCATGGTGTCGCTCCGTAAACGGGGGTGCGGGGGCTTCTTTCAAAGGGTTGGAGATGAATTCAGGCTGGGGTGCAAGCGCAGCAGGGTGCAGCAGAAGCCAGGAGGCCTGGGGTTTGAATTCCAGTTGCCTGGAACTTCGCCAGTGCCCCTCATACACAACATGGGGCAGTGCTACCGAACCCCAACGGAGAAAATGCATCGGTGTTCACAGCGCCCAGCATGGTTCTGGGCTCAGTTAGGTCCCCAACACGTTACAGCTACATGGAGGTGCAAGCAAATGCAGAATCAGGACAGTGGGCTCGGCTATGGGGGTGGGGTGGGGTGATCTAAAACCTGAAGATCCCACGCTGGCCCCACCACGGCTGTTCCTCAGCCCTTCACCCAGCAGTTCTGGGCCTCGCCCTGCGGGACTCACCACCTCAGCAACGTCCTGGCAGCGGCCCCTTCCGTCGCCAGCAGAAAGGAGGGGAGGGCCCTGAGCAAAGGGGAGGAGAGCGATGATAACACAGCTCCCTCTGCAGTGCACCCCACGCCGGGGAGGAAGCTGCTTCCCTGCGTTTTGCTTTTGGCCAAATCCTAACTAGCTCTGGGTATATTTTACCAAGTTTTTAAAAGTCTATTACAGTTAAGATTTTCTTACTGGAGCTCCTGGAACTAACACTTGGGGACTAGAACTTGCTTTCTGAGAAGTGGGTTTCTCATCAAAACTCTGGCCCATCAGCCCACCTTGGAGCTGAGAGGTTACCTTAAGGAAGCATTTCTTGCTGATGAGACTGAATCCTGGAGTTTCATTCCTGGGCCACCAAGGAACCCATGAGGATCTGCCCTGGGGGTGCATGTGCCTCAAACGAGGCAGGAGCCTGAGGCCAAGTTTACTGTGTAAGAAACTCAACAGGCAGCTTAGAGGCTGGAGGAACAAACAGGAACCACAGGCATTAGAAAGCTTAACAACATTATGCGTTTATTGTATTTCATAGAGCCATGTTACACATGCTTGGTGCTTCAAACTGAGTACGTTAAATGTTTTTCTGGATGCAAAGCCATCTTGCTCGATGCTGGATGCGGATGCCTTAAATGCGATATACTTCTGCATCTATGACCTATGAGCTAAGGAAAAAACCAAAGACAATTCCAGAAATGGCAAAGAACATTTGAGAAAAAGATGCACATGAGACACAATGCTGTCCTTGAGCCAGGGCCTGCGGGAGTTACCAGAAAAACACAACTGTTCCATGAAATGACTCGACCAACCACCGCCTGTGGATAACGGAGCCTAGTAACAGTCGAGATGTTGCAGAAAAAGGTGGTTTTGTATCAACGCCCTTTCCCCTCCACAGGACAAGCGGACACCATGCGCGCCGATGGAGCCGCCCACACAATACAGCACAGCAACCAGCCCCTCCCCAGGGCACCCCAGTGCTGTCTCTTATGGCGTCTGGGTGTCTTGAATGAGAAGCAGTCAGTCTGAGCACACTTGCCACTTTGTGGAAAACCCATCACTGGGCTTCAGGATCAGTGTGACACCAGCACTCACCCACGTGCTGGCCGGGCCGTGGGGGCGGGGCGATGACTCGTAGGATCTGTCATGCCTGCGGTCAACATTCCCTTCCTTTTTATAAGTGGACAGTATGCAACCTGCCCTCCCAGCTTAAACCTCCTCTGGCCTGGAGGGGAGGCAGGAGCCTGTCGCCTGCCTGCCCGTGGAGGGGCCTGACTCGCCTGATGCTGTTGCTCTAAAGGGCCCGCACTGCACCGTCTTCAAGCAACTAGGGACCTGAGCACAGCCCGAGCAGTGACCATCAAAGTCAACCAAGATCAGTATGTTAGGGTGCAGGGGACCTAGCAGCCACTTGGGCAAAGCTTCCGCTCAGTGAGAAGTGCCTTCTGCCACGTGGAAGAGCAGGTTGTGCAGAGCGTGGCCAAGCTGCAAGGGGGCAGAGCTGGGGTTACAAGTGCGGGTGGAATGAACGCACGTGCCAGGACCTGCTGGGCCTGACACTGCCCTGCACTTGCACTAATGCAGGTGGGTCCGGGGCCGACCAGTGACAGGCAAGGAGCCCGGCAGAGCAGCTGCGGACGAGGCCTTGTGGCGTGGCCGTGGCATTAAGTGGATGCCTGTTGGCAGCCTCAGCTCTCACCACCATTTTGACCTCTGGAATCCTTGCTCTCGCTGGTGGTCAGATGTCAAGAAAGTAGGAGGAACCTAGAGAATTCAAGATGAAGAGCATGGCCTTCCCTAAACCACGCTGGCCCCAAATCAGAGCTGGACACAAGCGGTCAATTCTCTCTGCCTGTGAGGGGGGTAGAATGATCAGATTCCACTGAAAAGCTTTAGAGGGACAGGTTTTCCTGTGCCACGGAGTCTGAGATCAGCTACAACAGGTAGGTTTCACTAAGCAGATTGAGGCGGCGACAAAGCCCTCTGTCCACCACCCAGGCCAATCTATGCCCCCCTGAGCTGTGTGTGGATAGAAGCAACTCATCTGTCAAGAAACAAACCAAACTCTGCTGGAAACACTGGCAGGCGCTGGGCCTACTACTCTGCCAAAGGATCTTACACTTCACTCAAATTTAGCAAAATAAGTGACATTTCAAAGAACTGTACATGGAAACCAGATAGAAAAAAATCTTGATTTCCCTCAAATCCTTAGGCCTTGAATGTAGGCAAAGCACACAAACACCATAGGAAACCAATGGCGTGAGTTCAATGTCACCTTGGAAAATAAATATCACTTTGCAGTGACAGTTCTTTATATAAATATTATGCTTCCCCCTAACCCCACTACCAAAAAGGGGGGAAATAACAATAAATCCAAAAATAGAAAACAACATCTTATTAAATGTAAACGTATCCTCTGGGCTTTTATATTTATTACATATCCTAGAAACATGCATGGATTTTAGCTCAGATGTAAGAAAATATGTCTATCAGTATCACTTATAAATCAGATTAACCCTCAAGACCACCGACTCACTGGGAGATCGCCACGTCCAAGTTTCATCATTTGCGTCTGTAGCAGTTACGAATTTTAACCACAGCGCACTGGATTCACGTTACCCACAGTAACAACAACCCCTGCTTTTCAACTTGTCGCTCGCCTGCTCGTTTTCTACGCGACTGGAACTGCAAGTGCCCCATCAACAAGGAATTGGGACATGGCATTTCTTCAAACCCCTAATCAGATCCCTTTCAGAAATTAACTCCGCAGATGGAGAGAAGACACATCAACAGTGTGTCCAGGAGCGTGATGGCTGTTCCACTCAGAGACAGCGAGGGGCCTCCCCACAGATATGACCAAAGGCATCCCCCTGGAGTGAAGGCACGGGAAGGGGGACCTCCCTCCACACAGGCGCCTGGCTTCTGCAGGGCACAGGGCCCAGCGGGGTGCTCTGACCGCCAGCGCACCCCCGCAGCACGAGCCTGCCCTGCTGTGGACCCTTGGGCAGGAATCCCGGAGACAGCGCCAGGTCCAGGCTCCAGGGTGGCACAATGCCGGGCAAGGGTGATGCAGCTCCAGACCTAGTATGCCCGCCAGCACTGCTCGCCCGGTGGCGGGGGAGGGAAGGTGTGGCACTCACAGCACGGGCACCTGTGGCGGCCTCCACCTCCGCTGTAGCCAGAGAAGCGACGCGGACCCGGGCACTCAGCCTCCACCGTGGCTCACCTCGCTCCCGACTGCCAGGTAAAGCAAAGCCTGGCCTGTCCAGGCAACAGCCGGGCTCTTCGGGTTAACTCAATTCCATCAAACTACTCTATGGAGAACATTCTGAATGAGTAAAAAAAGCGTCAAGTTAAATTTTTCATTTATGATTCAAAAGGCACTTCAAAAATCCTGGAGAGCCACAAGGTCACTGTTCCGGGGCCACCGAGCCCGCACAGAACCTGTGTAGAGGCTGAAGGGACAGGGCTAGTCTCTGACCTGACAGTGTCCGGACATCTGGTAAGTCTGGTATCCGCTAGTTTGCCGATTACCTCACAGTCAAGCACACAGCGCAAGGCCACACGGGTGTCTGCAATCTGAATAAATGGGATTTGCTGTATTGTGGCAGTTATAAAATATTCTCATGGGCCCGATATTTGACTTGAAGTAAAATTCAAAAAGCGTATCGTACACTTAAGAGGTCACCACGTGAGGCCAAGAACTCACTGAACACAACCCTCTCCGCGGCGCCGCCTGCCAGTCAGCACTCGGCCCGCATGGAAGCGCGATCGCGGCCTGTGCCAGCCTTCGGCTCCGCTGCCCCGGGGACTGGGCTCTCCCGCCACAGCGGTGGCCACGAGCCTGCCTCCTGTCGGGCAAGAGGACCTGCTGGAGCAGCGGAACGGACACCTGCTTGTCCCTGCCGGGTTACACCTTCCCTTGAGAACACAGGCCAGGGCACAACTGTCAGTCACAACTTCGCCAGGGAGCTGAAATCCAAGCCCAGTCGCGAGGGGCCCAGTGGGGTCCTGAGGTAGATCCGTAACTCGGACGCCTGCTACCTACTCTTGCAGAACTCGGTCCACGTGGAAAGGTATCCAAATGCCCATGCACCGCTTAATCACAAGTCACTGTAACTGAGTGCAAAATAAAGGAAACTTGAGTTGCTTTATTTAGCTTCCAATTTCGGGGAGGCTCAAGAATTATACTTATTCTGGACAACAGAAGGAAAGAAGACTGTGCTTACAGGTCTTTTTCTGCCATACTCTTTCTGTAGGATTGCTGTTTTATTGTCGCCCTTTCTGTTACACGGATGTACACGCCAGGTGTTAAAAGGTACAATACATTCTACAACTGAGCACCACTTTCTGTAACTGAACAGGCAAAGAAATTACACTGAACATCGGCATCTGGCAGTATTTTTCGGAAAAAAAATGTGACTAAAATGGGTTTAAATTGATTAACACTATTAAATCACATCTAATATTTGATACTACATGATTCAATACAGCTATACGATACAATTATACAAAATGTGTTAACATCAAAGAATACAACCAAAATTAAGATAGCAAACAAAACCTATATAACTTTTTTTTACAGGAAAATACTTTTGAAGTATGCATGTAACTGCCCATTCTTTTAAAGAAAATCTACTGCAAGCAAAGTTATCAACCTCCAGAAAAATCACACATAGCATTACTAAGCATATCCCCAAAAAGTGTACAATATGCACACTTGGAAAATACAAAATTAAAAAAATTGTAAGCAACAGGTGAGCTTCATATTTATAAGAATGTGAAAAGAAGTCCCATTTTTAGCACTGTTGTATAAAGAATTGTCTTTTGATGCGAAGTTCATGAATTGTCCTCCTGTTGGGACCACACTTTACAAAAACACCATGTTTTTGAAACGAGATTACAGAGCAAGATAGTCATATCTTAGCAATGTCATCTTATTAAAGTTTTTTAAATTTTTTACTACTTTATCAAAACATGTCCCTTAGGTGTGTAGGATTCATTTTTAAAATTCTTTCCTAGAAACAATATACAAAGGAGAGGCATATTTAATTCCCAAACACACTCCTGGAAGATGCTTCCCGAGGTCCAGAAGGCTCTTCTCTTGTCTTCTCACTGGTTATTTTTGGCCTTTGCATGTGTTAAGATGTGAGATTTCAGGTTAGTTGACTGAGCAAACTTCTTATTACAACCATCGAAGGGGCACACATAGGGCCTGTCTCCGGTATGGATTCGCACATGTGTGCGCAAATTGAAGTCCAGTGAAAAGCGTTTCCCGCAGCCTTCGAATGTGCACTGTCGGGGAAAGACAGAGAGAGCCCGCTCAGCGACACGAGGACCGCCGCACTGGAGGGCAGCCCACTTCTATGACCTGATGCCTTCCTTTCTGCCCCAGGGAAATTTTCTAGCTGTGTTCTAGTATTAGTGGGCATGGAGCTCTAAGTCTGCATGAACAACCCCCAAGACCCATGGTAGCCCTCCCTAACTGCTTAATACAATGTAAGGAAAACCCTTGGCAAAACAGCAAGGGTCTCCCAAAATAGGATATTAAGGTCCTAGTACCTGTGTACAAATGAAAGGAAGGCTTCTGGTGCCTTCAAGAAGAATCAGGTCAGATTTACTGTCTGCACTGAGTACTTTCCCTTGTTCATGGGCTTCTAAAATGCGACAGGATGTTAACTGTACTTGCAGGGCAGCTCCTCCAGTGACTGGACACCAGGCCGTCGCTCCTTGAGCCGGGGCTGCCTGCCTACACTCGCTTCCTGGGCCCTCCAGGCAGCACTGCAGCCGCCTACAC